TACTAGTATTGTGATAACCTGAACAAGTGTGCTTACCCGACGCAAATATCAAAAAGATTGCTACCAATAGAGCTTGATACAGCCATATCTCCCAGACCTTTGCGAGCAACAATCACGCTATAATATGACTTTGATTGAAAAAAATCTATTGAGAAAAAATTAAATTACCTTGTGATCAAATCGGGTATACTGGTACCAGCTGCAAGTATAGTGAGCCCCATGATCTGTAAAGATATTGGCCATTAAAAACAGTTTTGACTTATCACCAAGAGAGCCACCTCTGTGGGTATAGCGAAGGTTTCTCCAATAGTGTTGGCCCACCAAACCATTAAATATGAGTACAGCGCTATCCACAGAACCGATCCTACGAAGGTCACAATGAACCACGAACGCCATGACTAAAATGAACTATGTCTATTTATGAAAACCTCGAGTATGCACATGGGATGGCTCTAACAAGGGGGGCCTGGCAGGTCTCGCCGGCAGGTCGCCGGCTCCTTGACGTGAGGATGGCAAGAATTAAGATTTCATTAGGCCCTCTATAGTCTTTCGCAATAAATTCCTAGATGAGGATACCACCGCGACTCTGCTATATCGAGATATAAGAGTCCAGGGATCTTCATAGAAATGTTGGGAGGTGCAGGAGGTGCTACCGGCAGCTTTGCGAGCGCTGCCGGCAGTTCAGAAAGCACGAGAAATAGCCTGCTCTTTCGAGAGAGCAAGGTGCCGGCATTTTAACACGTTTTTACAAGGCCGAGACACTGGCACTTTGCTGGCGGCATCTGTGTTGGGTATTACGGCATCAACATAATTTACGTCCCACAAAACATCAAAATCTCTATTTTCTTCAAAAACGAGTATTTTCATCATTATCAGGGTTCTCCTTGACTAAAATGCATGATGTTCATCAAATTTGAATGTATTCCATCGCCTAAGATTAGTGAGCGTCGTCTCATCAGTCACCACTATCTCGTCTGCAACAGTTTCGCGTTCATTTGTCCGCGTCTCAGCGGTTTTGTTTCTTAGGGTCGAAGTCTATCAAACAAGGTATTGTTCTACTCCCTTACAAGCATAGCTGTGCCTGTGCCTTCCCATCCTTGTTCTTCGAGGTGACTTGGTGGGCTACTGGATAGCGAGACCGCGCTCGAGATCGATGCATGCAGGTTCAAAACGTGCGATGACATTGTTTCGCGTCGTCAACATTCCAGTGGAGATAGTGACTGCGGACTAAGATAACATGAAAATCAACATCTATGCCAAGTCTGTGAATTAACGCCGAAGTTGGCAAGTTTTCGTGATTGTGCTAACTTGCTGGCATCTATGATGCCGCCAGATAGAGTCGATTAGTACCGGCCCTGATGTCAAACACGCATATCAGAATTATTCTCTTGAAATCTCACATAGCAAGGTGGACTTCCCCTCATATAAAATCACTTACAGGCTTCCGCACATCAGGCAGTGTAAAAGCTAACGGAAATGTGATCGGGGCCAAAAGCACGAAGATAAACCGTTTGAAATGAGTTTCTGGCCATGAAAGGTCCAAGGGCTGTTCGTCTCCCGTAGTCATCGATTGCTGAACATTGGACAATATCCGCAAATGGAGTGAACAAAAACTAACAAGAGATAAACTATTCGTTCGGTATCACATTTTTTAGAAAGTGATTGTTAAAAAGACTTACTTTGTCAGGTGGGGGTAAAGGTAGTCCATTTGATGGTTGTTGTTCCGCTACGCTAGCGCTGCCATTCTGTGCCGTTCTTCCCTGAAAAACTATCTAACTTCAGCAGCGTTTTGTAATCAACAATTTTTGACTCTAATATATAATATTCAGCTTTCCTTGTAAGCGCGAATGCGTCTGATTGTTGAAAGGATAGTTTGCTACCGGTAAGTTTTTTGCTGAACATTCTAATAAACAAACCTGCTGCTTCGGTACCGGATTTTCTATTGGTGTAACTTTGTTACCGCGCCCATCCACTGCAGCGCTCACAGTGGTGACCGTTCGGTTATCTGAAATCACACAGTTAATTGCTTCTGATAAACTCGACAAATGCATCGCTTGATGCTTCCAACACTTTTGGTGCGCACATCTTTTTCAAGTTTTTCTCACTAGCTCTCTCAGATGTTCAGATAGAGTTTGATAATCTTTGAGTATACGGTAAAAGCGCAGTAAATGAACACCCTTATAGAATCAGTGAAGTAAAATAACTGTAAGCAGTTGTTATAGAAGTTCCCGGATGTGTCTATGGCAATAAAGGTTGAAGTTACTAGTTCATAAGACACTTACTGGTCTTCACGAACATCTTTTCGCTAGCTGGTTTCACATTTATGGTCCGCACCTGAGTCACATTGCCATTTTCATTGTACGCGGTTTCGCCCTCTAAGTAAGCAATATTAATTGGGTTGAAATATTTGAAATACTATAGAAATAGTGCTTAAACCACTATTTTTTTATAATATTTCAGTCGTATGCCTAACGAAAAAAACACATGGGACGGGAAAAGAAAGGTAAGTTAATAGAAAAAAAAGAGCGCATTTATGTAATGACAGTCAACTGAATATACAAATCTGTGCAATAATAGTCAAATCTGTGTTTATGCCGTTTTACATTTGTATCCACATCCACTCATAATTCTGATTTCCTGTGAACTGTATCTCTCACATTGCTCTGAGCATTATATGCAACAGCGCTACGAGACATATCACTTGACATCTGGATAAAACTGATGTTTCATATATAGGGTGCGGAAAAAATACTTTCCCTTAGTTTTCCTCCTAAAACATCTACAGATAAGAGAAATTTACAGTTTTTCAGTTGCCCCATGTACCCTTTGTTTCAGCTGGCTGCTTTTGGCTGCTCGAAGGCGGGCTCCGTGGCCCATTGTGGCTAGAGAATGATTAGAGAGCGGTCGGATGTTCTGGAACTGTTCCCGCATAGTTCTCGCACTATGTTGGAATTGTTCTGGAACTGCGCTGTATGCGCTGCAGCCGCCCGCTTGAGGTTTTCAGGGGCCGGAGGTTGGAGATTTTCAACCGTTTTTCACCTTTTTTTCGTTCAGTTTCCCCTCATTT